TCTTCCTCATCTTCTTCTTCCTTCTTCACTGGTTTGGATTACTGTAGCTGCTCCAAAACAAAATGGAAATGGATAAATCACTAGGTTCCTCACTGAGTTCATTTTTAAGTTTTAAGCACATGCTCCTTTAGATCAATTGATAAGGTAAACAAACATTGTTATCGGTGTCTAATGTCTAAGCACATGCTCCTTTAGATCCTTCAATTTGCATCAAATCATGACATGTAATTTCCCCATGGTAAGAAAAAGAAGAAAGAACAAAAAGTATATAATGGGGGACAATAGACAAACATAGATTAGCAAGAGGTTAGAAAAGCAAAGCAAATGAAAAGTCTAGTTCCATAACAATTTCAGACATCCACACAAAAACACCCCAAATCATCATCATCATCCATGCCTTATCCAAACTATATGGGGTCAGCTACACAAGACACCTCACAAGTGACTTCAAATAAGAAGCACTAGACCACCACAGCAAGCTTCAAAATGGATGAAATGTTTTGAGGTCAAACAGAATTGTCACCTCACAAGTGAAAAATAAGAATCAAATGCAAGAATTGTCAAACAGAATTGGTCCTTAGTAATCATTTTCAGAAAAAAGTCCTTGATAATTCAGGACCCAACTCTAATTATTGCCATCAAACAGACTTCAAAACCCTAAATAGTATCAGCTTAACAAATACCATGGCAACAAACAGCAAACACCCATAAAACAAACTCTAACCACATAACTTCCATAGCCCACTCACACTTTTAAAATAGAGAAGGCTCATAGCCTCATACATAACAAGGAAATGTTAGTCCATGAACAAGACATCATCCATATCCAGTAGGTTCATAAAGCATATAAACAAACTTCAATAAACCACTTTTCCACAGTACAAGATTATGTCATAGCAGTTAAGACTGGCACAATGTTCACAATGACCAGACAACTCTTAAATAGAAAGCTCTCCATCTAAACAACTGAAATAGCGTGGACACCAAAGAAGCAACCTATTAGCATGCTTTTTGATCTTTACAACATATATAAACATGAAGAAGAGTACAACACAAAGGACATCATAAAGAAATAGGGAAAAGAACCCACCAAGTTATGTGCAATCCCATTAAATGTTGCAGTAAACTCCACAAATGATACCACTTCCATTTGAAGAATTTGAATTTCAGTTGCTTTCATTTGATTATTAATGGAACTAGAGGTCAAAAACAGTTCCACGTTTCCTGGAACTCCCTTAGAATAGATGCTGGACTCCCCAAAGAGCTCTTCAGAAGTTGGTCCAAAATAGAAAAAGTTCTCAGAGAATAGAAGATCCCACATCCTCTCTTCCCGAAATACTTTAAGTAATGTTGGTGCAGAAATAAGAACCCTTCTAAATGCATAAAGAGTACAATGCTGCAAAGTATTCAAAAAAGTCCTGCAGAGATGGAAATCAAGAAATATCATAAGAAAACAGGCATAAATGGGCAACAACCACAAAAAGAAGAAAGAAAAAAGAAAGGAAATAAACAAAACTGCAATCTAGCCATAGAATTACAAGCATTCTCTCAACAAAAAATGGAAAAGAGAAGTTAGCAATTCTTGTGTATAAGTTAATTATTCACCTTAAATAGCTTGGCAGCACATTTTGATTAGCACAAGCCCTAATGCAAGGGAAAATGGTCAGAAGAACCTTCATAATCCATTTTACCGAAAGTTCCCAATAAACCAAGGAAACTGGAACAGCAGCTCGACCAAATGATGATTGAACATTCTGAAATTTAATATCCTCGGGAGCAAGAAGGAAAGAACAAAGTATATTGCTTAATCTTATAGAATACTGATCCCAATATTGAGAAAAAGAATGAGCAGTATCCAATGGAATAACATATCCTGATGCCAAAAACTTTTTGGGGATCTCCTTTTCAGAGTCTGAAACAGGAATCTGAGAATCAGCTTGTCCAGAGCCCATTCTCTGCTGCCTGAAGTCTTGAAGCATGAAAGCAGGTAAACAGATGTTATTTGAAAACTTATGAACTCTTCCATTCTCACATAGAAACTGCAAATTGTTCAAATTTCCAAAACTGAAATAGTTGTTAAGGTCAACAGCATCTATTTTTATATAACAAAAGAATATCACAGCAATTTCTCAAAGAAAACTAGTAAGGTGCATTAATTCTTCATGAAAATTCGAAACTAAATCCTGTCAACGGTTTGAAGGATACACAGCCTCCCTGAGGACTTCTAATGACAGAAGTTGAAGCTCAAAAAGACCTGAAAAACAATTTTCCTCTCTGAGATAGAGGTTAATCCAAAACATCAGTACATGGAAGTGTGGAAGAACAGCAAATGAATGTCACAAGCATCAAATAATTATAATGCAGGAATTGAAAGCAAAGCAAGTTTATCATGTACAAATAGAAGAAGAATAACAAGCTTATCTATGCCATAACTCATAACATAAAGATACCATCCTCAACACTAACACATTAACTGAAGAGATCAGACTTATGCAAATAGATAACAAAACCATGAAAAACAACAAATCTTCTAACTGAACAACGATTACTAAATTATGGAACACCCAGCCAAAGCCCTTAACTTGCTTTAACTCATAGATTGTGATTCCCAACAAAACGGGATGGACAGAACATGGAGAGCTCTAAATTTAAAGAAAACAAGGGGAAAGAGAAACTGATAAATGGGTAAAAGTTAAAAGTGATCCAAAATAAGGCCTAAAAGGTTGGTTAAGCAAATATGAAGGACTGGTTAAAGGTTTAGGGATAGGTCTAGGTTTAAAACAAGGAAATATCTCACATGCCCAATAAACCATCTAATTCTAGCATCTCCTTCCCACCTTATATCTCTCTCCATCTATTTCTATCTTTATCTCTCTCTCTCTCTCTACCTTCTAAACACATTATATTTTAATTTTCATCAATGTATTAAAATATTATGTTTAAGTTAAAACTTAAACATTGAAATAAGACGAGTAAAAAATATCATAAATACTAATAAGAGAAAAAATAAATAATATAATAAGACAAATAATAAAACTCAAGTAAAATTTAATAATTAATCAAAAATATTATTTTAATTATAAAAAATATTTTCATATAAAGTAATAAAATTTAATTTCAATTTAAAAACGATTAGCACTCTGCCCACCATTAGACATTACTGCAGCCACTACTGAACCATCCTGCCCTCCATTTAAAAATGATTAGCACACTGAAAGTGTCTATTTCCCCCACAATATTTGTCTTGGTTGGATCACCTCTTCTGCTTGCAAAGCTCACAATAACTGGTATCAGAAGAAAACTTTTCTTCATCAAAGTTATCTTTCAATCGTTCCTAATGTTTCTCAAATTTTGTTTTTCCAAAATGATCTGGTATTTTATCTTGAGAGTTGCCATGACCAGTATTAATTCCAACCATTAAGCCTTTCTGCTAATCTCTTCCTTCATTGTTGTTACCCTTTTACCAAAAATTAAAAAAAAAAAATCGAGACCAATTTTCCCATTCTCTTTCAATTCACCACTCGCTTGGTCAGCCTCGATTTGGTTAAGAGGTGTAGAGAACACTGATGTGGGCCCCACAGCTATGGTCCCGCTGTGTTCGTAGGGTAGAATGTGTTTGTTATGGGCCCAGGAATAGGATCGTGTCACGGGTCGGTCCACGGGGAAAAGCTCCTGTTTTCCCTTGTTCCTCCCCTTCCTAACTGAACCTATCTTGGCGTCCTAGAGGGTAATTTGTCCAAGAGATCACCGAACTCTCCTTTTACTCTCTTTTTTGATTGGAAATTTGATATCTTTATTCAATAATTTCAGCTCCTTAAATAGGAGATTACAAGAGGTAAGAGTCCTTGTAGGAAGACTCCTTGATAACTAAACTGCTTACAGATAAGATAGATAAGACTCCTAGATAAGACTAACTAAACTGCTTACAGATAAGATAGATAAGACTAACTAAACTGCTTACAAATAAGATAAGAGTAAGAAAGCAGATAAGATAAGGATAAGGTAAGATGAACTGTGGCTAGCTAGATAATCTGATGAGGGTCCCACGTTACTGCTGCTACCGGCGGCGGTACTTCTTCCCCACGAATGCGTCCATAACAGTGTTCTAGTCATCCTAGGGTTAGCTGGTGGTCAATCTATTATTTCAGTTTTATTGTGTTCTATTTGTTATGTAAATACTAAGGGCAGATCCTAGGATGACTAGAACACATTCTACCCTACGAACACAGTGGGACCATAGCTGTGGGGCCCACATCAGTGTTCTCTACAAGAGGCTTTGACCCATTGCTTCTTTTCAGTTCACCACTTCTTTATTCTTTACCTCCCCCCCTCTTCTGGAACCTTCTCTTTTCAATTAGCACTTCCTTCTCCCCCAACCATTCCTCTATTACCACCACCTTCTTTATTACGAAATCCAAATCTCTCAAACATAAATATGGCATTACATGAAATCCCCCCCTCCCTCTTTAATTGAAATGTTCCCATTTGAATCCAGGTCCAAAGTGTAACTTTGACCAACAGTCTAGACACTACCTCCACCTTCTCTAGATCCACTTGCAGCCCTTTCTCCACAATTGTCATCATCCTTACACAAGCCAAAAGCATCAATTTTCAGTAAATGAGAAGATGACTTGTCTACCAGTCAGTCACTACACCACCAAAAATTCAATCACCACCATGAACACCCGGTTTCCTTCCTTAACCTTGACCATCTTGGGTATGTGCTATGGGGTGTTAGCACGCACCCTAATCACTACCCATCTCACATTTTGCAGGCTTGTCATCTTATTGCACACTTCAATAAATTCACAAGCAACACTCCCCAATGGATCGTAAAACCAGATGGTTCCAGAGGTGAAATGGAAATAATTCTTACCTCCAAGACAGCTCTTCTCCATTTTACAGCATTCACCTCTTTCCTCTAGGGGATCAGCCTGAACCTCCCTTACGTTGAAACTGGTAGAGAAATTGCATCACCTTCTAGTTTATTTAGAACCACTGCAACATTCTCCATCACCAACAATAATGTTAAAAGACCAACCTCTCTTCCACCTTGCAAATCAATGTTTCTTCTCATAACCTAACATAGCACACTTTTGAGAAGCTAAGTACTCTATTCCCCCCCTACCTTCTTGAGATCATTATCATTCATGTGGGCTTTTCCTTTTACCCAACCATCCAGCTCCAACAATTTTCCTGTTCTCTTCCATCTTGGAGGTCTCTCCATTATTTTCAAGAGACAAGCCCTCCTCCAAGAAGTATCACAACCCTCCATCCTGCTTTCCTGCAGGTATGCAAAGTGGCTTTGATTGACCCTTACCAACAAACTAGATTCGGACCAGCTTTATGCCCTCATCACTGTCTTCATTCCATGAAAAAGGAAAGCCCTCAGGCCTCAATCATTAAACTTACTCCAAGATTTGATAGATAAGACTTCGAAGTTTTTCCTACGAAATTATCAAACTTAGGAAATCTCCTTGTGAGATAGATAAAACCTCCACCAAACTCCAAAATTTTTAACACCTAATTGCCAGCCAGCGACAAATATTGAAATAAAAGTTTTGTTGATTCCATAGTTAAGGCCGCAAATTAGAGAAAGTATAGGAAATGATTAGGGACAAAGAAAATGGAGAAAGATGAACAAGAAAGGGTAGAAACAAACTAGAGTGATGGGAAATCTTGACAACAAATCCAACTGAAATATGAGGAAGTAGAGAAGAGAAGGAGAGGAGAGAAAGGAGAAGAAAGGAAGAAGAAAAAGCTTGGAGCAATAAAACAGTGCTGGCGGCGCCATCTTTTATTATATTATATAGGGCGGCAAAAATAAGAAGGGAAAAGACCCTTGTGCCCCTGCTGTAAGTGAGTACAATAACAGAAATAATAGAAATAAAAAAATGCTTTAACTAGCCAAACAGACCCTAACACAAATAACTAAATTATTTCAACACTCCCCCTCAAGTTGGAGCATAGATGTCAATCATGCCCAACTTGTCACACAAATCATTGTGCCACACATGATGAAGACCTTTGGTGAAGATATTTGCAAGTTGTTCTTCTGAGCTGACATATGGGGTACACACTTCTCCATTTACAAGTTTCTCTCTAATA